GTGTGCACATGCTCCGTGTGTGTGCACCCCATGAACACGTGTGTGCATGTGCTCCAGGAGTGTGTGCACCCTGTGAACACACGTGTGCACGTGTCCCGTGTGTGTGTGTGTGTGTGTGTGTGTGTGTGTGTGTGCCAACACACCCATCCACGAGGTGCGGCGCCTGCTCCGGGCGGAGATTCCGATGGGATCTGGACGTCCCACGGTTGATCTGCTCCGCGGGAAGGCCCCTTCCTTGACTCCATCAGCATTCCAGGACCTCCGAGGGTGACTCCTGGAGCGCCGGGATGCTCCGCAAGCCGCTGCCCGTGGGAACACGTGGAGCTGGATGGAGCCACCGCCACAAACCCCAGCGCCGGGACCGGGAGGAGAGCGGGGTGGTGGAGGAATGAGGGCTGTGTCAGATCCCACAGTTTCGCGGCGCTGGAGCCGCCGGGAATGTCGGGATGGAGCCGCCGCGGCTCCAGCGAGCAGAATCCGAGCGGGAAGAGCCGAACGGCGGAGATTTACGGCGCCGGCTCCGCGCAGCCCCCCCCCGGCCATTTGGCACGGCAGCTGCTGCCGGGGAACTTCAATGCCAAAATAAATTAAACGGGATAAAACGGCCTGGGCACCCTTGGATCGGGATGCCGCAGGAGCCGCGGCCGCGCGGGGCTTTGTCTGCGGGAAGGTGGGATGGGAGGGGAGCCCGGGATGGCCCCGTGTCCCTTCTGCCAGGCCGGAGCAGCCCGGGAGCCGCGGGCAGGGGCCGGGAGGTTGGATTAGGGATCCATCCGAGTGCACGGGGCCCAGCTGCCCCGCTCCATAAATCAGGGGAGGCCGGCTGGGTGCTGGGGGGCTCTGGCTGCCGCTCCCCCAGCGCAGGGAAGCACCCGGCGCCGCCACCCCCCCACCATCTGCACAGGGATATATTTTAAGACGTGTCAGCGCGGGGATGTTAAACCAGGCGAAAGGAGAGCAAGAAAGCCGGGGCTGGAACGGGGGGGCGAGGGCCGGGCTCGGCTGGGGAGGGGGGCACGGGGGGAATGGGGGGATGGACCGAGCCCGCAGCCCCCCCTGCACCCCCTCAGCACCCCCTGCACCCCCTCAGCACCCCCTCAGCACCCCCTACTCTCTCTGCCCTCCCGAGCAGGAAGGAGCCGATGCTGGGGACACACAGAGCAGCATCTGCCCACGGGGCTCCTGCCATCCCAAATTCCTGCCCAGGGCAGGAGGACTGGGGCAAAACCCCCTCCGGGAGCCAAGCTGGGGCTGGGACCAGCACAGAGAAAGAGCAGGGAGGGATTTCTGCGGAGGAAGGAGAGGGAGGGAGGGAGGGATGGATGGAGGACACGGCCACAGCTCCATGTGTGTGCCCTCATGGCTCAGGGATGGAGCAGAATCCATCCCCCCCGGGCACCCCTGGCTCCTCTCCAGTGCCCAAGGGGCTGCCAGGAGCTGAGAGAAGGCTGGGAGACAAACCTTAACCTCAATCCTTCCCTCTCCCACCTTCCCCTCAGCTCCAGGTTTTCTCCTTCTTTACTCCCACCTGAACCAAACCATCCCCTGCTCCAGCTCGGGCATCACCCACAACACCCCTCCAAGTGGGATGAGACCCCGGGGCTAATGAGGGCTTGGATCTTAATTAGCAGAGTGGAATTTGGGGGCTGGCGATGCCAAATCCCACCACCCTCCCCAGGAGGGCAGGAACAGGGAAGAAAAGGCTTTTTTTTCTTTTTCCAAGGAAAACACAGTTACCGTGTGACTCCAAAGGCTACGGGGTGGGGGGGGGGGGGAAGCAACGGAGTAAAAGGCAACCAAGGAGAGATACAGTAACAGGAAATATTTAATTTTCCAATCTCCACTTCTCCGTTTTTATAAACTGAAAAGAAAAAAGATTTTAATATATTACAAAATATCTGTACAGAGACAAAGGTACAACCGAAAAAAGGCGCGCTCGGTCTCCAAAGGAAACTCGGGAGAGGTACAGTCAGAGTGTGACCAGAGGCTTCTCTGCTGGGAATTGCTACAGCGGGAGAGATGTAGGATTGACCCCAAAACCGGGATGGGGGGAAGGAGGAGGGAGCTGCCACCCCCCCCCCTCCATTTCTGTAACCTGCACCGAGGCTTAAATCCTTTCAAATGCGAAAAATCCCCCTCCAAAACCAGAAAATCCTTTTGTCTTCTTTGTGCAGAGCGTTTGGGGGAAAATAAAAAAAAAAAGGTAAAAATTAAAAATAGGGGAAAAATAAAAGAAAAAGAGGTTGGAGGGGGACAGGAGTGGCCCCACAGCCCCCTGTGACCTGGCCAGGCTGGACACCCCCAGCCTCCCGTGGCCCTGGCAGGGAGTGAAAGGCTCGTGCTGGGACCAGTTAGGAAGAGCCAGTGGAGCTGGAATTGTGTGTCCCTCCTGGAGGGTTCAGGGGGTTTGGAGAAGGGAATGGTGGAACCAGCTCCTGCAGGAGCCCAGAGCCCCACGGGGACAGAGGGAAAACGCAGGGAACAGACACCACCTGGAATGTCTGTCCCTGGCTGGGGGTGGGACAGGGAACAGGAGCCCCCCAGCCCCTTCCCAGCCCCTGCTGGAACAGGGAGCAGTGGCAGTGTCCCCATGGGGAGAGGGGACACAGCTCTCCCAGCTGGGAGAGACCACCCTGAACTGGGACCAACCACCCCTAAATTGACACAAACACCCAGAACTGGGACCAGCGAGCCCTAAACTGGGACCAGTGAGCCCTAAACTGGGACCCCAAGGCCGGGATGACACCGGCACTGAGGAGGGGGCAGAGCCTGTGGGAGGGGGGGCTCATTCCCAGCAGCTTTTCCTGGGAATGTGCCAATTTGGAAAGACAATAAACAGGCCTCCACTCCCCGAGAGGGTTCGGGCACAGGAACATGACTTTTCCTTCCAAATTGGATGGGATTGGGAAGGAACAACAAAAGCAGCAGCAGCTCCACAGCACCAAGAGCTGGCAGGAGCCAGGGAAAGGGAAAACAGGGAAATTTCCCCCCTTGAGAGGTGCCTGGTGGGTTCAGTGCACTGTGTGTCTCACAGAACTTCTCTTTTTTTCCTCTCTGCACATCAGGATGAACTAACAATTAAAAAAAAAAACCAAAACACCAAAAAAAAAAACCCAACAAAAAAATCCCAACAGATTGACAGTGGGGATTCAGCAATTCAAATCCTCAGCCTTGGCAAATAAAAACAAAATATATCCATTTCTATTGACTTTTCTCTCCCCTCCTTCCTCCCACGGCAGAGCTGGGTAAGGCAGGATTTCCCCAGGTGGAGAAGCATCACCTATTGAGGTGCATTTATTTAAATTTCTCTCTCTCTCTGTATAAAAAGAAATTAAATCCTGTTAGTAGCAAGGCCCCCCCGGGTTCCTCCCCCCTCTCCTCCTTTAACACTCCAGAACTGTCAGCTGTAAAATTCAATGTTTTCCATAGGAAAGGCCTAGTCAGAAACAAAAAAAAAAAAAAGCTGAAAAATGGGGACTTTTGTTTTATTCATCTCTTTTTAAAGTCTCATTGAAATGAACAGCGCAAGGGTCCGCTGGAGGAGAAAACTCATCGTAAATACTTCCTTGACAACAACAAAAATAGAAATATGCTGATAGAAATGATACAGGAACACCTGGAAAAACCTCAAAGGGCTGAGATGTGACCAACCTTGGCAGGGTGGGCAGCACCAGCCCGGGATTCCGGGGGCAAATCACTCCCATCTGGTGGAAAATCCCACCAGGAGTTAAGACATTTGTCTCCTTTTTTTAATTCTTTCAGTGTTCTGGAAGTTGCAAGTGACAGAAATCCCCATTTTTTTCAGGGAGGTGTTCGCCTCGGCTCTTAAAAAAAAAAAATAAAAAAACCAGGAAAAATAAGACAATTCCCACTGCAAAGTTACAGCAGGAGGGATCCAACCCTCAGAGATCCTTCCCAAAAAAATCAGTGTACTAAGGCTGCTGCCACAGGGGGCAGGATCTGGCCCCGGAGCAGAGGGAAAACCGGAGGCCTTATGGAAAGAAAACAACATTGGATAAACTGAGCACAACCAGTGTCACATCCCGGGCCCCCACTGCTGGGATAACCCCTCCAGGTGCCTCTGCATCAAAATATTCCCCTTTTAATTTGCTTTTTTCCTTTTTTTGTGAAGGAAATTGGGAAAATAAAAAAAAAAATAATCGCTTTGGGAAGCAGCCTCCCCCCAGCCCTCCCTGACCACGGGGAAACAGCTTTTTGTTTTTTATTTTAGTTCCTTCTTCCTCTCATTCCTATTTTTCCATCAGTCCCCCCCTCCACCCTCCCCTGGCTCAGCCTGGGACTGTTTTTGTCACTGACCCAGCGCGGGAGGGTCCGGCCCGGGCGGGACCCTGCGGCACATCCCGAGGGAAGGGAGGAGGGAGGGATGCAGGGGGAGCTCTGGAGCAGCTGAAATGTGGACGAGACCTTGCTCTGGCCAAAGAACCAAAGGAAACCGAGTCCTGTGGCTGAAGGAGGAGAGGCGAGGGGTGGGGAGGGGGGCCCGGGAATGCTCAGTAGGGAACCCCCCGGCCCCGGCCCCCCCTCGGAGGCACTCTGCCAGGCCCTCGGAACGCCTTCCCGTAGGAAGACGGTGCCTGGGTGGGGGCTCCCCAGCTGGGACCTGTCCCTGCCCCGCTGGAACCGGCCGTTCCCGGCCCCAACTCGCCGTAGCTCTGGATTTTGGCCTCGGGGTGTCCCAGCGCGTTGTTGCTCCCCTCAGATTTGCCGAAGGAGAGGCCGACGGGGGCTCTGGCGAAACGCAGGTCCTGGTCCCCTGGGAACTGCACCGATCCCGTGCCCTGGTAGTTGCTGGTCTCCCCGAGGTGGCTCACGGAGCCCAAGAAGGTCCTGCTTTTCCCCAGGGGTTGGGCAGAAGGTTCTAGAAGCGTCTGGCCCGAGTTCGGCTCCTCGGCACCGAATCCCCCCTCAGAGCCGTCGGCGCTGTAAGTCCTGGAGGGGTGGGGGCGGCCGTAGTCCCTCGGGGCCGGGGGCTCCTGCGTGGCGTGGCCGGGCAGCTCCGTGTCCTGCTGGGAAAGGAGCTGGAGCAGCGCAGCCGTCACGGCCGGATTCAACTCCTGGGCTGCTCCGGAGAGATCCCCTTCGGGCACGGGAGGAGGCGGCGGCGGTCCGGGGGGCTCGGGGGGTCTCTTCTCTGGAGGGACAATGCCAGGAGGACAGGCTGTGGAAGGGTGACTCCTTTTAAACACCGTTTCAAACACACACACACACACACAAAGACATTTCACAAGCAAACCAAACCGATCCCTGCCGGGCCCTGGCACCGGGATGTGCCGGGAAGAGGCAGAGGGAGAGTTTTAAGGCTCCTGGCTGGGAGATCAGGGCAGTGGGTTCATTAACATCATCACCCAAAAGGCCCCACGGCAACAGCTGTCCTAAAACACCCGGGGCACCAGGGAGGGAATTCCTGCTCCTGGATAAAAAGGTGGATGTGGAGCCACACGCCAGCCCCGCGCTCCCCAAAGCCGGAGGGACGCGGAGCCGCCCGGCTCCGGAGCGTGGCCAGGACGTGTTGGATTAGACAGACACAAAGCCAAGCCCAACCACACAGAGCCCAGCTCCTCACTGCTCCCACAGCATCCCACTGGGAGCAGGACACCCATTCCTGTCTCCTCCCACCGGCCCCAGCCCTGCTTCCCGACCTTTCCAACACCAGAGTCCAAAACAATCTCACCCCCCAAATATTTGCACAGAGTGGCCTGAGCATAAGAAAAACTCTCTGCTTCCTCCCCCCTGCCCCTCTCTCCCTTATTTCCCCCCAAAAATCAGGATTTGTTTCCAATCAGGACTTGTTTCAAGCCCCTCCTGGCAAGAACAAAGCTCCATCAGGCCCCGGCCCCCCCCAGCTCTCACTGCTCTGGCACAGCCCCTGAGGCAGAGGGAGCACAAATGGGCCTGTCTGGGAGGTGGGAGAGGGGAGCAGAGCCCTGACCCTCCCCTGAGGCAGTGCCACACCTGTGAGTGACACCACAGGTGACACCACAGAGGGAAGGACATGGCTCCCCAAGGAACACGACCTGCTCCGCTCCCAAAACCAGCCCTGACTCCTCTCTGGAGCAACACACCTGAGCTGCCTCCTGCCCCTCACCCACAGGTGAAGGAATTACAGAGGCCACGGACACCTTGTTGGAATCACATCCTCAAATCACTGGCAAAACTGGTTATTAAAAAGGTCAAACTTTATTGTGAAAACCAGTAGTCTTCCAGGACCACCCCTCCACCCGTATCCATCAGTCCACTTTGAAAACTAGATTGTATTGAAATCCAGGAGAAAAAAAACAAAACAAAAGGAAAAAAAAAAAAAACCAAAACAATCTTCAGGTAAATTTGTAAAGCCAAGCTGATTTGGGGACAGCAATTCATTCCAAAAAGAGTTATCAACAGAGAACAACGGCATGGAATTCCATCTGCTCTACAGTAACCTAGTTATCTTCCAGGACTAGGGCAACAACAACAGAAAAAAAAAAAAATAAAAAAAAATAAAAAGCACGATCACAACTGGCTCGTGGTGGGCGGGTGTTGAAGGCACGAGAACACAGCACGTTCAGCTACATTGCAGGAGGTGGGATCGGGCCAAAACAGGCTCCCCGGAGAGTCTGAGACAAACCCAGGAGGCGCTTCTACAACTGGGTGAGGTCGTCACAGGCTGTGGCTAATAAATTCAGAAAATCAACAGAAACAAGAGACATGGAGAATCATTTACACTCACCTTTGGCAAGGAAATCTGAGACTTCACCGACACAACTGCTGCTCTTAAACTCTCTCACTATGAGAAGCTGGATTTTGGGGCTTCAAAACTGACCTGGTTTTATCTCACAATTGCCACTTAATCCCTCTCCCTTCAGCACTCACCAGCATTTCAGTTCCTTTAAAAATCATCTTTGTGTGTTTATTTATTTTTTTTTTTATTCTCCAGAGGGCAGGAAGGGCATGGTGAAAAATACTTGGGGCCATCAATAAGATGGGAAAATCCACAGAGATTCCTGTGCAAAAAACAACCCCTCCCTGGATGTGCCAACTGCTCGCTGGGGGTGGGTTGAGAAGAACCAACCCTCCAGGCTTCCCTTTCATTTTTGGGCAAAACCCCAAACCTTTAATTAATCTTCAGTGAAACCCATTCACAGTGGAGCACTAAAGGATTTTAGAGTGAATATTTCCATGTTTTGGCTGTTTGTAGTTCAAACCTCCCGAGCAGCCCAGCACTCACCACAGGGAGGGGGGCACTTTGAAACCTGAGGTCTGAGCAGATTCTACCCATTCCCTTCCCTCCTCCCTCCCCCAACGCTCCAAGCTCTCATTCCTCCTGGAAACCAGACCTATCCCGCTCCCTGGGACGCTTCAACTCCTCAAACACGTGAGGTTTTATTTATTTACCTGAGCTCTCCTCCGGGTGCCTCGTCGGGGTTTTCCGGGGCGCCCGCTGCTCGCTGCTCTTCTCCCCGTTGCTCTCCTCCAGGGATGGGATCCCGGGCTCCTGGCTCTTCATGAGCTGACTCAGCAGAACCGCCAGCACGTTCTGCATGTCTCCCTGAGCGCTGGCTGCGTCCGGAGTCTGCTGCTCCTCCGGCACCTCCGGAGGGGGCTCCTCTATGGCTTCCTCTGGCGGCGCCGCCGGGGGCTCGTGGTGCTCGTGGTGCTGCGCCGTGGCCTCGGTCAGCGCCGTGATGGACTGGTTGAGGGCCTCCAGCTGCTGCTGCATCTCGGGGTTCGAGTGCACGTTCAGGAGCTGGGCCATCTGCGGCACGCTCAGGTCGGTCTGGCTCTGCAGCAGGTTCAGGAGCACGGCCAGCTCGCTCTGGTTCAGCTGCTGCGTGATGTCCCCGAGGCCTGCGGGACACCCCGGGAGGGGACGAGAGGGGAGCGTCACTGCCAGGGGGGCTTTGAGGTCCTGGCACTGCTTGTGGAAATGGACACCCCTTCCCAATGTCCCACAGCACTGAACACCCCTTCCCCATGTCCCACAGCAGTGAGCAGCCCTTCTCCCCGTCCCACAGCCATGATCCACATCCC